GATGCTTATCTGCAAGGTGAAATACTGTTGAGTAGCTTAGCTTATTTGGCACTACCTTATTCACTAAGCAAATTTATGGTAAATTAGGATTATAACTTAAATTTAAGGCTATAGCCTGCAATCTTGATTTTTTGTCCTTCCTTGATGTTCCTGCTATCTTGAAATTACAGTTTGTCTCAGTGCAGCTCCAGAACGTAGAGTTCCAGAATGAGATGTCATTTCTTGCTGCACAGTTGTGTCCTCATATGCAAACTGGGAAAAGAATAATTCTTGCACTGACGGATTCTTCTCCCTGGTGAGGGGATGGGATTTTGCAGAGCAAAAGCAAAATCAGCTGAGAATTCCTTCCCGCCCCTGTAGTAGTCTACTTTATTAGTGGTTTTTGGAGGGGAGGGGAGCAGGTTCCCCTTCCCCCAAAAAAGGTGATGAAGCTTTGTCTAACAAGGAAGTAGCATAGAGAGGAAGACATGTAGCTTTCTTACCCCAGCTGCTCTTGTCTGTATCAGGTTCTTACAGCTGACGGCTCTGTTCCCCTCTAATGTTCTTAGTCAGCTTTCCTAAACTGAAAGCAACCAATAGATTTGCTGGTCAGGAAATGTCCACCACTTGCTGTGAGGCAGCTCTAGTTTCCAAAAGCGCAAACAACTGGTTTCTGCTTCAGATATTTAAACCCAATTCTATTTCTAGACGAGGCACAAAAACCTTGACATCTCTAGGTAACTATTCTATCACTTATTGTATTGTGCCTGAACATATTTTGTGCCATAACTGCAGGGTATAAAGGGTTCTAAGCCAGGAAAAGTGCACACAGCTGCTGCTTGTCTTCCTCCTGCTAACACCTCCTTAAAGCAACAGTGACTTGAAGTTACTGATGGCTTAATCTTCCCCCATTTGAAATTAGGGAGAATGGGACAGGAGGAAGAAATGTGTATTTAAACTGCTTGTGGCTTTTGATGTGCAACTTGGGGGGGTCAAGGCAATAAATCCAATGCAACTGAGATGATTGGTATAATTTTGAGGTTGAATGCTGTTGTGCTGTATGGTGGCCTCAAAAGTGTTGTTGTTTTATCAAGAAACGTAACTTCCCTATTGAGATCTGTTTGAATGCTGAAGCCCAATGCTCTGCTGTGGACCCTCCAGTTTTCAGACATCAATCACAGTGCTTCCTTCAGATGAAATTCCTCCCCCTCCCCCCAAGAGTTCTCTTTTGTGTAGCAAATGGGAAATGGCCACTCTTCTGTGCCATGTCTCAAAAAGTAGTAACTTTGTACAGGTCACTTTCTAATACAGTTGACAGCTTTCTCTTTTGGTAGAAGAAATGGCTGAATGTGGTTTGCTCTTAATGAGAATTAAGCCTCGTCTTATGGCAGGTAACTACTGTGCTTTAAATTTTTCACATCTGTGGAATCTGCTAGTAGGTGTTACAAAGATCCAGTTGTAGGGGTAATGGCCGAACAATAAGCCAAACACAGCAATTCAGGTGTGAAATAGTCTGAAACTTGTCTTTTGGGTGCTACGTCTACCATGTGAATGGCTACTGGAGTACAGCTCTGAACTGAAAACAGGAATGCTTTAGGTGTGCTTGCATTGAAATAATGCAAAAAAGATCTCTGAAGACTGCCTGAGAATTGGAGAGCTACAGCAGGCTTGTAGCACTGTTATATCCAGTGGACAGTGAACTGAGGTAAGGATGATTATAAGTGCAGAGATCTAAACTTCATAGCAACTTTTTTCCCATGATACAGAAGTTAGAGCTAAAATCAAATCTAGTCTTCTCTACTTTAGAAAACTCTAATCTAGCAGTTGTTCATTACGAATTAATCCATTTGGGATGTAGTACAGATGTGTAAATATGCTGATTAACTAGTGATACTATGACTAATCAAGATACGATTCATCTAAGACAGATAGATACATTAAATGTGAATGTTAATCATATAACCTCATTTTACTTAACAAATTGGAAATAGCTCCCTTATGTACTGCATCAAAAATTAGATTGCCTGACTTACTTAGACTCTCCAAAGCAAAGAACTGTATCCCAAGATACCATTTGTTAACTAGATTTTCCTTCCGCAACCCTTATGCCTGCAACTTAATAATTTCTGGTTGGTCTGTTATGTTCCCTATCCAGAGAGGATGTGCTTGGAGAGAAGTACTGACTCTTAACTCATCATTTGGCTTTAATGAAGTTATTTAAATCAATGCTCTCAAGGAAGCCCCAGAAACATTCTCTAATGCAGTAGCTAAGAAACTCAATTGCAAAAAGTAAATAACCTGCAAGTCTAGGCTTCCTAGCTTGAGAGTTGTAATGTTCTCTCTTGATCAGTGCTTTGCAACGTGCCTCCCTTAACTATGGGGGATGTTTCAACTCTAGCAGGAGTTTACAGCTTGCTTAGCCCGGAACAGATTTCGAATTAAAATCAGAAGCCTTTTTGTTAAGACTAGTGGCAAGGACAGAAATCTTTCATCACCACTTTCTTCTACTAACAGTCACCATCTCATGGTTACCAGTCATGAGAATACCAAAGCTGGCCTTTTGGATAGCCTCGTATGGCAATCTAGCTACTTCCTCATTAAGAACTGTGAGGCAGCTCGCACTGTTAATGGCTTCACTTGGCAATGCAGCAGCTTCTTTGGTTTTGGAGGCCAAAGCTGGGGCAGATGAGTAGAAAGTGAAATTCATGTTGATTTGGTGGCTGGACAGACAGATTTACAATACTCAATATTCAATATTTTTTTCCATACCTACAACAGATTGTTTCTCTTCATGCAAAAACTGCCTGTACTAAACCAAAGGCTAACACTTATTAGCCTATTTCATGGCTTTTCTTCAAATAGGAGAGGGAGTTCCATTTCAGCATGCAGCTACCTTTACTTTTAATTGTGCTGGAGCCTGAGATAGACCTCTGTTGCACTGCAAGTCTAGACTTGCTGTTAGAAGATGGAAAAGATGGGGTTTTAAGTACAAAGAGCAATTCTTCCCTCAGGAAAAGGTAAAAGATGTAATTTAATAAAGCTAATTACAATGTGAAAATGCCATTTGCTTTCTGCTTCTTTGTGACCTGGCTCCTCTGGTGATTTGAACAACCTGAAACAAAATAAACTGAATTCCCTGATGAATCACTGTGCAGCAAAGAACAGCTATACCAAATTGACCTGCTCCTTTCCTTAAGGAGTTGAGCTCTTTCTCCAGCAAAAAGCAGGGAGTGGGGATGTGAGAAGAGAAAACCATAGAATAGGAAGGTAGAGAAGAAGGAAAAGGAAAAATCTACTGGTATTAAGAATCAGTTCTGTAGAGATGGTCTGTCTTTTAAGTTCATGCTCTGGTGCAGTTGGTTTCAGCACTGAAAAGACAGCTTGACATTCCTCCTCAAGACATTTAGAGGCTATGCAGCCTAGAGAATGCATTTTGTTTTTTGCTTATTCTTCCTAGGCAAGCACTCCTAATTGAAGGTGTTGCAACGGTAAATAAACACCGGTTACCTGTGCTACAAAAGGGAAGAGAGGTTGGACTGAATAGGAAAACTGGAGTGACTAAACAAGACGAAAGCACGGGAAAAAAAAAAAAAGTAGTGTATATACTTCAGTGTTCACTCCAGACTGTAAGTGCACTTCTGAAGCAAATCTTTCAGGCATGCTTCCAAGTGCAGTGTGGTGCACAGTTGTGTGTGCACCGTTCTTCCTCAGATGAAAATTGGAGTTCTTCAGGTTTCATGGAGGATGCTCTTCAACCACTAAGAGGCATTCAGTCCCTGTGAGCAGATCAAAACCTCAAGTAAACTCCCCTGCATATAGCAAATGACCAACTGTGGTCATTAGACCTGCCAATCAGCTTCTGTTACACTGCTAATTGCTAGCTGTTAATGTATACAGCTGCTATTAAATCATTCCACAGTCAAGAAGAGCAGGTTCTCACCTGCTTGTTTCCTCACCTGGAAGACAAGCTAATTCCTGTCACCTTAGCTTGGCTCTGGACTCTACAGCTACTGAACAGAAACCACAGCAGTAAAGACTAAGAGTATTCCATGCAGTTCAGACACCTTCATACTAATTTCCTCTAACATATTCCAGAATAGCATGGAGTTTACCCTTTTGCTGTATCCTGTTGCATTCTGGCTATTCAGCTCCTGCTAGCAGGAAAACTAGGAATAAGACATACTCCTGCACTTCTAAAGAAGTCTGATTCTAGAAAAATCAGTGCTCTGGTATCAAGAGGAGCAAAGCAACCTGCTTGTGAACTACTGGAACTGAATGCTAACCTCCCATTGCCACAGCCTGGAGAGGCAGCCTAGGATTAGGGCTCACCATCAGCACTAGTGCACAGCAGGCTGAAAGTAATGAAAACCCGGCTAGTGGCTGGAGGTAAGAGTCTCAGCAGCAGCATATAGTAACACTGGCTTGTCTGTTATTTCTGTATACATGCACTACTGCTTAAGAAATGCTTATCTATCTGGGAAAACTCATGCAGGAGACAAAGCAAACTAAAGAGTTAAGATGTTAAGACATTTTTAAGTTGCAAGTACTTTTAACATATGATACGCAACTAGCCTAACTGTGAGAGAGAGGAAAAGCATCTGCAGCATTTAAAAGGATAATTTTAGGAAGTTTTCAGTTAATATATGTAACTGTTTTAAGGATTTCCTCCTCCATCCATGCCAGATGTTAAATAAAAATAATTTAGAAAAGGTGTTACTCATTTACTGGGGCCTAAGCTAGCAAAAGTTTTCAGTCCTGGAACTATTGCTTCCTTTCACTCAAAGCTGCATCCTAGCAAGATCTCTAGTTTCTCAGGTACACAATCAGACTTCATAGGTAGCAGAGATGTAGCTGGTTACAACTTTCAGACATTAAAAGCACTATTTTTATAGCAAGAGCTGAAAACTTTCTGCCTTTGGAAAAACAACTTATGATAGTGAAATCTTTACTTCCCACTCAGTTCACAATTCCATGCCTATAAACAAGTTCTTGTAGCTCTATGAACAATTAAATCCACAAATGAATATGAATATGTATCATTTATTTGAGGTGGACAATTCACATCATTAAAAGTCACAGGTAACAAATCTTATTGTGAATTTGAATTAGAGGTTTATTTTATAGTTTTCAGGGGGCAGCTTCAGAGAAAGTAAAATACAAAAGATAAACAGCACGCATCACAGTCTGATGCGGTTGTAGAAAAACTATATATGATCCTTCTGTATGCAATAAAATGCAATTTAAACAGCCAAAAGAAAAGAAACCTGACTTGGGATGAAAAAGTTGCATCTTGAAGGCAATCCACTGAATGGCTTCTTCAATTACTTATTGTTAAAAAAGTATGCAAATCATGGCACAGGCATATCCAACCCTTTCAGCTGTGAGGAAAAGAAAACCCTATCTTAACATATTCATTGCATGAGTGTAAAGTAATAAACAGAAAATTTCAAGTAAAGGATTGTGGTCTGAAAGTAAAATTTCCATTTGTTAAAAAAAAAAAAAAATTAGAAGGCTATCTGCTTTTCTTCTCTCCATCCATTGGTTGATCCATTTCAGAGTCACATTGGCATTTTTCCACACATTTCCTAGGGAACCAGCCTCGTTCTCTTATTCCACCTTAAGACATGAAAAGTTGCATTAACTTGGAACAAAACCCGACCCACTATAGAGGAAAAACACATGACTGGAAGAGACATCAAGAGGTCACCTAATTTATTTTCTTCTGCAAGACAAAATATCTATATCGTTCCTAATACATTTGCCTGGGGATACATGGAGTCTCTCCCATTGCCTAGCTTGTTTTCAGAGATCTCTAGTCTTTTCAAGTGCTGTATATTCTTTGTTATTAGAAAGTCTTTCCTAATATCCAGTTTGAATCTTTCTGCCTATAATTTAAGTTCACGATTCCTCTTCTACACACCAAGGACATACAAAGCAAACAAAACCTTCTCTACAGCAGACTGTCATGCAGCTGATGACTATTTGCACATATACCTGCTTTCTCCTATCTCTGTCCAGCTAAGCTATCCTAATTCTTTCAAATTTTCCTCATAGGTTGTATTTTCTAGTACTCTGATCATTCTCAGTGTTTTCCTTTCAACCCTCTTCAGCTGATCCTCCTCTTTCTTGAAATGTAGTAACCACTATTACTTTGGCAGTATTTCAGCTGTGTCTTTGTCAACGCTGAGTAGGATGGAAGGATTGCTTCATGCGTCTGGGAACCTAGATACTTGTTTCTTTTTTGCAAGAGTGTTGACACATGTTCAGATCATGATCCAATTTTTTTTTCCCCTCTGAAGAACTGCTACTTAATCGTTACATTTTCCATCTTGTTTTAGTGCAACTAATTATTCCTGCCTATTTTTAGCATTTTTCTATAAATTCCTATCACATCCCATCCTGTTTTTCAAGTTTTTTCCTGTTTTTCACTTCTCCAAAATCTCCATGTTATTTTGATCTCTAATCCAGTCTTTCAGTTTACTCCCAGTTCCCCACCCACACAATTCATCTGAGTTTAACAAAGCATACTATATAGCACAGATATCTCCTGCTAATCTTCACAATAAACAACATAAACTTTGAATACAAACTATTACCATCCTCATTTCAATGACTTGTTTGGGTTTGGTATTTAAGAAATTTCACAGGAAAGAGCTGCTGAAGTACTCCTAGGCAGTAGAGGTCCCAGCCCTCCCATGAAAAGCATGCACATATTGTAGTGTCTGCTGTCTACCTCTTCTTCGCTGACAAGGTATGTATAGACAGTGAATGCCCCCTGTTTGGTGGAACCCAATGCATCCTCAATGGAAAGTCTGGTAGCTAAAATTTTAGCTAAGACCTAAGCAGGAGAAGGGCTCAGGTAAAAGTGTCAAATTTTCAATGCAGGTGGGTATGATACTGTTTCTCTGCAGATCACCAGGAGCCTTTAATGTCTTTGACAGCCATAGTTATTGGCTAAGTAAGTGAATGTCAAAATCCCTGGAATCAATCCCAAACCAAAGACATGCCTCTTCGTTTTTAAAGCATAAATACATACAAAGTAATTGCAAGTCTTCTATGTGTATGAGTTGCTTAGTTATGGAATCTGAGTGTTTATGAATCACTGCTATTTAAATAACAATAAAAAAAAAAGTCAGCGTTAACCTCTTTAGAGTGACCTTTTCTTAGAACATCAGGAAGTCAGGAAGTCTCCTCCACCCCCCATTTAACAGAAGACTACTACAAGTTCTTCCAGTTTAACAGAATTATTTCATGTTTATCAATTATCAAAACTAGCAGGTCTACTGAGATAAACAGTAAAAACTGTGGGTGTGGTTTAGGAGAGGAGAGGGGCTAGTGCCAATAAAGCCATTCTACATTTTGAGAATTAAATATGTAACCTTGTCCATATTTCTACCAAAAGTTAGGCAGCTATAAAATTAATTTGTAATTTTCAACAGAATAAGTGAAAGTAACTCCTTCATACCATCAGCAGCTGAGTTGAGAATCTTCTCACCATACATCCAGTGTCTGGAGAAGAAAGCGTAATAGGTAATTAGATGCCAGAACCGATCTCAATATTTCTTTTAACCAAACATAAAGGTGTGGTGCCACTAACTTTAAGCCTCTTGTGGCTAAAATCAGATCCCCTTTACTCAGTGCAATTCGAGGCTCTTCAGTGCACGGTGTCGTGAAGAATGTTTTAACACCTTTAGTCACAGGGCAGCAGACACCACCGTAGTCTTCTACTGCTCGATACCGCACCTGCCAATTTGAACAGAACATGGCAATATATTATTGCACTGAAACTCCTGGCAGTTTCAAACCAAAATCGGCTCAAGTGTAGCATTATATCTGAGTGAAATGGCAACTGCTGTCAAAGGGACTCTGAGTTTTAAATTAACTGTTTAAAAATGAAGCACAGTCATCTTTATTCCTCTTCTATTGCCAGTATTCTCCGTTATTATCACATTTCTTATCATCTGGAAACTAAGGAGCAAAAGCAAAGAAAGCTAAATATTAAGTTTAATTAAAAAGAGATTGCAGCACACTGTTTCTGTTGAAACACCGATCTTCATTTAATTGGTAGGTTTAGAAGTCACTACAAGAAATAATGATTTACATTTATTTATATCGAAATTTCAAAGTAACGTTTTAGATCACAAGTATCAAATACTTACACTTCTTACTCGCTTGTCTGCTTTCTGTTTCAGTTGCTCTATCTACAAGTGATCATAAATAAAAATTTAGTCAGTGTTTAGCTTAGTAACAATTGTGCACACGACAAAATGAAGTTAGGGATTGTAACCACTAAGCACACATAGGGAAACATATTCAGCGTTTAAAAGCACGCACAAACATACATATGTAACCTATCAAAAATCAGAGAAAATTTGACAGAATTCCTGTTTCTGAAGTATATGTGCTACTTGTCAGGCTTTATTTTAGTTTTTTTAAAAGTCTGGCATATTACCGTAAAGGAAGGCAGACAATTGGAAAGTGGGGAGGAATAACTTGAGATATCATTGAAGAACATTACCGTCAAACTGTACTGATGACAGCCATCTCTTACTGGCCAGTCCAGGCCATCTCCCTCAGGAATCCCAGACCATGTAAATACTTGCTTGAAGTTCTTCCACTTACTTCCCATGTCATAAGGAAATATAAAGGTCTCACCCGTTTGGTAGTACTGGATTCTGTCTTTGGCCTAGGAATATTAAAGAAATGCAGCACATCAAACATATCTCACAAATTATGACTGAACAGCAAATATTTAGAATGCCAAGGGTCATAGGCGCTGTATGCACCCCGAGCCTTGGGGGCAGGCATTTTTGTGCAAGAGCATAAACTCTTGTCATACTAACACTGGCTTCTAAAACTACTTTGTGTTAAATGCAACAACCAAGGCATTCAGAAGTGCACCTGGTTTTGTCCCTCCCCGCCTCTGCCACACTTACTTTTTTTTTTAAACAACAGAGTCAACTGGGTATGCTACTGAGCAGTTTGCTCCGTGCTCTAAATTTATTTTATTTTATGGCATTTACAAAGACTGATGCCTGACTATTTCTTAGGACTCTTTGATTAATGATCATGAACATTTATGATGAGTAGTGTCTGTTCCCCTTCAAGGACTGTGTACATAGGAATGCTCTTAACCTTCTACTTTCTGCATTCACAAACTTTTTGTTCTTTCAGTAACAGCGACATCTAGTGGAGCAGTCACAGAAGAAGGTTTCATTTGTTCCAATAACGTATTTTTTATTATACATTCATGTGTTGCAGTGTGTGTTCAGTCTTCAAAAGGGACATACTAATAATCTAAGTTTTACAATAAAAATTCCTACATATTATTCCACCTCTTACTTTTTCTAAATGTAGCTTCAGCTGCTTTGCTACATTGCTTGTGAAACCTCAGAAAGCATACAAATTTCAAGGAGAAACTTAAAGGAGAAAAAACTACATAACCCATTCTTTTCTAAGCCTTCTTCATCAACGTGGAAAATCCTCCCAAGTTTAATCAGACAGAAAAACAGGAAACATGGAAAACTGTGAGCCCAAACTTGATATTTAGAACCAGTAGAGGCGTTAGAAAATTAAAGATACAGGTATGTGTAATTAGAAGCAAGGACAACTTAAGTTTCAGAGGGGGGAAAAACCCCACAAATATTCCAAGCAGATAAGTAAATACTCTTAAAAGCAAATATTTATGTAGGATCACCTTGAATGCCTCAAAAAAACAAAGCAAAACCAAAAAAGCAAAAAAAAAAAAAAGATAAAAAATCCTTTATCCATTTAAAGGATTTCTCTTTTACTTCAGTGAATTTCGGAGACTGTAAAGGAAAAGCTGATTGCAAGCGCTAAGTCAGTGGTGAATTGAAGTAACACCTTTGGTTTAAATCCAGACAGGCAAAACAAGCAGTTCATTAATTTATAGACTAACTTTGAAACAATACAGTATAGAAACACTAATGAAAGCTTACCTTTTCTTCAATCCAGGATTCGATTGAAGTTTTATTTGTCAAAATAACTTTCATCTAAAATAAGTGTTAGATGAAAATAGCATTAACTTTCTACAGAAACCCCGCAGCTAGGCAAACAAAACTTCATTTAATAAAGTACATTTCTTTGAAACAACACAGCAACTGTTATTGTTGCTTAATTAAAACATATAAAATATTAAAAATCAAGCCAGCGTAGATATATGCTGACATCACCCTTTAGAATTGTATACTTACAAAGTATCACACAGTATTTCAATTTAGGCTTAAAATGTATAGCTTTTCTTCCTTTGCAAACATCTCAAACACTAGAAATGTGGGGACACTTCAACATTTCACACATTTGAAACTAGGCACAATTATTTCTATTTGCAGGGATAGGGACATTGAAGTCCAGAGATACTGAGTGATTTGCCTTTCTCCAAACAGAATTTAGACTCCACGTCATGCTTTCTCCGCCCGCTAGACTTTCAGCTCCAAATGCTCCCGTGAAAAAATGACTACGGTAACAATAACGGAAGTGGCGGAAAGCAGTATGAAAAACTGATAAAGTTACACAGCAACATAAACTCTAAACAACTGCTCCCATCTCAGTTCTGAATTGTTTCTACTCTGTAACTGTTATCAGCAACAAATTAAACACAACTCACAGCTTTTATCTTCTTTGTAACACAAGCCATAAGCTTACCTGGATAATAAACAACATACCAACAGCAATAGTTGTTCCTAAAGCCAGTCCTAAGGCAAATAAAGAGGCAGCAAATGCAGACAGTCCAAAGGGAACAATAGGTCGAGGGTCTCTTTTGGCTGCACTCATGTCAATCTTTACAGAACTCCACCCAAAAGATATCTATGAAGGGAAAATATCATCATTCAGCTCTGGAACATTCAAATTACTGAAATAAAATAAGTTATCAATAAGAAATCTGACTCTGAAGGTAAGCGTCCGACCCACGACAGCTTTATAATGCAAGTGGAATAACTACAAAAAAGATGCACAGAAGAGCGTTCCTTTTCAGAAATACATTCTTTGCTAGATCTAGGCCTTTTCTAGATGAAAAGCTTAATCAAAATCACTATCTTGCATGCTCTACAACAAGCTAGGCCTAAAATCTGCAGCAAAACCTAGACACTGTGGCACATTAACAAAAAAGCCTTCAGTAGTTTCATATGGAAAATGTATGTACAGCGCTGTATCCATTTTCAATGGAAATCCTACAAGTTTTCCTCTGAAAGCTTTTGCAGGTAGCAGTTCTTAGCCGTGTGGCTCTGCAAATATGGCACACAACCTTCATCTGCTAAACTCAATTAATGTTTTCCAAGCTTTTTGTTACAACTGCAAAAGCTGAAATCAAAGCTCAGAATCTTAACCATAAATCTGAGGAGGGATGTATTCCAGAACAAGCTTTGCTCATAGCTCCTTCAGTTAAAATTTCTAATTTTAATAATAAGCTTAGCCTAAATTATTTTCAGTTCCAGAAATAACTGACTTGTATTCCTTCCTTTAAGGAAACAATATTTCTAATAAAGTGGCATGGAAAAGGAAATAAATAGCACCTAACTTGTGTGCCAGAAATAAGTAGTGGACAGCTCATGCGCCAGCCAAAACAAAGCAAGAGACTGCCTGTCTTTGTAAAAGTACTACCCTAAAACAGTCTTCAGTTAATGCAAAGCTCTAGGAAAACTTCCAGTAATTATGACAGGCAACAGGGGGGGGGAAAAAAAAAAAAGAAAATGAAAAAAATATAAGCATCTTTCTCCGAATCCTTTTCCAATTTATGAACATATTTCTCAAACTGTGGAGAGCAGAACTGAGAGTACATGTTGAAACAACAGCAAACAATTCCACATGCTTCTTTACAGGGAACAAAATTGCCCTCTACTTCCAAAGAGAAATCAGCCATCTGGCCTAAGTAATATTTTAAGCACTGAACTATGTTTCCTTACTCTGTTATAAAGCTGAGTGTACATAGTCATAACAAATATGAAAGAAGCATGAATGCATCCCAGTGGAGCTAATAGGAGGAACAGAGTGAAAGATGCATGGTTCTGGTATCCACAACAGTTGTTGATCCAAGGACAATGGTGATCCATCTTCATGACACACCTGTGAATAATAAATATTGAATTCATATAAAGGACATCGATGATGTTTTTCAAAAAGCTCAGAAAAAAAGGACACATAACTAGTTACAACTCTGCCTTCACTCATTTATTTAAACTTATCTGAACTGTCTTTAAAGAGCCTAGAATCATTAAAGGAGATCTCCGTTTTATAATCCAATCTCATAACAAGAAGCAGTCATGACGAAAATCTCTGTCTTTCTGACTCCCTGCTTCCCACTGCATAGCTACCATGTTTGGTTATGTCAAAAGCTGCATCAGAAGAACACAAAGGTGTAACTGTAATTATGTTGCCAGAGACCTCCTTATTCATTTCCCAGGTCAAAGATATTTGGTTCTCCAACACACTTTTTATCTCCTGAATTGCATCTCATTTACTCACATAACCGAAAGCAAAACAGCTAAAGGACACAAGCATTTGTTCACACTTGTCTTCCATTCTTAAGGTGATAAAACCAGCTTTTATTATTTAACAATGACTATTTACGAAAACAGTAAATTCTGACAGATCAACATAATAGTATCTTTTCTGTTGTTATTCAGAATGATATTTCACAACATAGAATGAAAGCAAAACAAAACAAAAAATGTGCTTGCAGGTCCTACCCTCCCAAATTATCCCTCCTCCTCTTTTCTCAAACTTGCTCATTGCTGATAAACACCGTATTCCAGAGCCAAGAGACAGAGATGAAGTACAGGAAACGCAAGAACTATCAACACAATCATTTACCACTAGCTTTGTTGCCAAAATTTAAAATAGAAGCTAATGGAAATATCAAATCCATTGTAGACTACTACTACAGAAAGAACATATAAAGATTTACAGACAAAAGTGTGATTTTCTATTTAATCTCTGAAAGCCTCAATTGCTAGGTATTGACCTCACAGTACTGTAAATTGTTTCCGAAATCTATTTAATTGAAAAAGTGTAAACACCCTAGAGACACCCTTTTATTCAGTACTAGTGTTTCTGAAGAAGTTAGTGGAAATCAGCTAGAAGTCACAGCCCATTCCTGTGGGCCACAAAAACTGACTCTGTTCACCCACTGAGACTTGCCATAGCATAAAAGATTTTCAGTGGTAGTTTAAGTTACCTACTTATTGAACTGCAACAGGCTAGAAATGCATACATAGCAAGTTAATTTGGGCACAGCGGAGGAGGCAGAAACTTCCTAAAACAGATCAGTAAAATAATTTGGAGATTGTGCAGCAATTTCTTGTACTTTACAAAAAGTAAACTGTTAGAGAACTTGCTATTACAAAGAGAATCATTAGGATCTGCTGGTATTTTCTAATAATTCTTTAATGTAAAAAAAAAAAAAAAGTAACCAGATTGTCCCTCAAAGGAAGGAGTCTAATTTTAAAACTCAGGATGATGCAGCTAAATTACAGCACTGGTCTACAGTTTCAGTCTCTACTTCCTGAAAGCATACAACTGGACCTTGTATTTATAGAAATAACAAAAGAATGTTTATGCTGCAACATTCTTTCGATGTTGTCTAATCCTTCAGACGAGGACCATCCAGTCAACCCAAGCTAAATGCAACTACAGCTTGGACTGCAGATAACTAAAGTGGCTTGCTTCTTTTCAAGCTGCACTAGATTCAAGTGTATCTTTTTATAATAAAAGCATCCTTTAGCTTAAAGTAAGTCTGTTGCAAGATCAATATAAAACACGCTACAGACTTTCTAAGTTGACTCAAAATGCTCATCAGTTCACTTTACATCTTCCCTTCGCTCCAAAAGCCCACACAATAAGCAGTAAAGAACAGTCCAAAATTTCCACCTACATCAATGTTTTCTCCTGTTTGGGAAGACTAGAAAATAATAAGGTTGTCTACCAAAGTGGTTCTGCCTAAACGGGTGGATGTTTGGGCTTAGAATTCAGGAAGGGCCGAAAGGCTCATTTACACCTGCTCATCTCCCTGAACTAGTACCACAATATCTGTTCAAACTGCCAAGAAATTCTGTAGAGGAACCGTTTTCAACTACAAAGTTAATGACTGATTTTTTAAAAAACTAAACAAGTATTCATCAACACGGCAGAAGACATACAGAAATCACACAAGTGAAAGTATTTCCACACAAAGTGGAAAGTATTTGAAAGTAGCATAGTTTTTGTATGGAAGTTTTTTGACAAGAAACGATATTAATAGCTCATCCCTAAGAATAAAAGCTACTTTAAACATGAGTATAAAGTAATTTCAAAGAGAGACACTACCTGTTACATTTTCGACAGTGGTGTGAACGCGGTGCCTTGTAAGACTGGCACACTTTACAGTATTGGAGATACATGCAATCCTGAGATTTTTCCTTTAAACACAAAAATATGCATATTAGACAGAAATACATCATTCTACTAGCAGCACTCATCTTAGCACTTTCAAAACCTAATGCATCCTTGTTTTAGGTTGACAGAGTGTGATTCGCACCCCCACCTTATTTAACTGCAGGTGGCAAGAAAAAAAAACCCATAGAACTCTTGGCTAACACAGCCATCTCTCACTGTTAAAAGTGCTGCTTGCTAAAAGAAATAAACAATTCTTTCATCAGGAAGAGTGAGTCTGCACAAATAAGGTTCCATCCTCAACTTCTGAGAGTAACAAACAGCATGTTTATTATTTGTCATAAGAAAAAAAAAATGCATGCTTTTTACTACATGCCAGTCTGGGCCTCCTACTAAGAAACTTATAGTACTGTGAAACGTTAGTGTTTACTCAGCTCTCATAGCACTCGTTTGTCTCCCTTTCTGTCTTACACAAACACTCACGAAGGTTATCTGCAGCAAGCAGATAGGGAAACTCATTATAAAGATATCAAGTAGTAATACTGGCCAACATTCGCCCTCCCCCGCCAAGTGGAACACCCAGGTATCCTGCTAGGACTACATTCGGATCCTGTTCTCACTAGGCTCTGTTCTAAGAAAAATACTCCATTGAGAAAAATACTGCATAAGTAGAAGTGTGGTTACTACTTCCTTTCTGCCACAGCAATGGCACCTGGTCTGGATCTCTGGTCAGCTGTCTCAAGATACTGAACCTACATACTTCTGGTGCTCATGATCACTACTCTTTCCAGAGGTTATTGAAGCAAAAGACATGCAAGTTCTACCTCGACTTATAACACTCTGTCAAACATAAGCTAAACATGCAATTTTCTGGCTCCTATACCAAATTTAGATTTGCTAGATGAAGTAGACTTTACTGCTAGCCATAAGGGTTATCAAATAAGTCTTCAGTACCATAACATCTGCATGGGGGTGCAGATACCTTTGAAGTCCTTGTTCCTGGCTAACAATACTTGTTTCCTGTTATTTTGAGAACCATCTATACAACATAGCGAGTAACGCCAAAAAAGAAGCACTATCGCTTAGCCACAGGCCACAGTAACTGCCGGAACAAGGAAGGGAAAAGAAAGCTGCGGATCACCCTGGAAACGCTAGAAAAAGTGGCAAGGCAGGAAAAAAAAAAAAAAAAGAGGCAGAAAGCGCAGGCCTTAAACCCAGGCGCCGGGAAAGGAGTGGCGCGGAGGGCTGATCGCGCTCTCCGGAGAGAGAGAGAGAGAGGGCGGCATCAAGCCCCAGGCAACTTCTCACCCTGCGCGGTCGCCTCCGCCCGGGCCTCGCCCCGGCCGCCCCCACCCCGCCCCGGGCAGGGTCCGGCCCCGGCGCTTACC